AATACAAACCCTAAAAAACCCTAATTTAAATTCCAAAAAAATTGGAGCATATATGTATCTTTAACTCTAAGTATCTTGAAGTTTACAAAGCCAATTTTGATGATTTAATCACTATTGAAACTAGAAAAATCTTTTCTATAACTTTACTTAGAAGCCCAATAGACTCTAACTTAATAAAAAAACTTCTTTAATTTTAAAAAAATTAATTTTTTGTATTAATTTATTATATTTTCTATATTAAATACTAAAAATAGTAATTTTTGTATAACCATAATAGAAATAGCAAAATACTATATACCAAATAAGTTACAACTCTTTCTAATAATTTTCTGGTCAACAATAATTAAAACTGAACTACAGAAAAATAATATAGAAACTTTCAAGACAGATACTATTCTTAGTACTAACTCGAGTAAACTGTTGTCAACAAAGTCTGGAAAATATGAAATACTGAGAAGCAGGTATTAAATAGATAGTTTTTCTTGGAATTAAGCCTTTGCTTCTTTGTACAGACTCCCTAAAATATTTGGTATCCAAATCAAAAGAGTTATTCTGGGAACAAGTTTATTTGGATTAGGTAATTATTAATAAATTTTGAAAAATATGAAATACTGAGAAGCAGGTATAACTATACATGCTAATAAAATTATTTTAAGTTTCAGGATACGAAATTAAAATTTGAAGACAAAATTGTTTTTGACCTATTTTACTTAAAAGACAAAATTTTTTGACACTTTTTTTGAAAAAACAAAATTATAAAGAATATAACTACCTAAATTAGATTTGCTCTTGCATATAAAAAATTTCAAATTGCTCTAATAGAGATGAAATAAGGTTTTTTTGAAAACCTATTTTGGTAGCATATATATAGGTATAACTAAAATAGTTTTTCTTGAGGTTAAACTTTTAGTTTTCTTTGGGTGAACTCTTTAAGATATTTGGTATTCAAACCAGAAGGTTTATTCTGAAAACTAGTACTCTGCAAAATCAATTTAAAATTTGAATTTGAACTAAATATTTGAAAAGATTTGATCAAATTTTTTAAGAATTTGATCAAATATTTTCAAATATTTGATTTAAATTTAAACTTTGATTTAATTTTGTAGAATACTACTAAAAACAAGTTCTCTGAGATAGTAAAAGTCTATGGAAATGTATATACAACTATAAAACTTACAAAAGAAACTTATATTTTATTGTTGGTCTACCATTTTTTTTTGGAGGAAATTTTTGTAAAAAGTAGATATTTCAGCTTAGCCTCTTCAAAAAATCAACATTATATAAACAAAAATAGTTGGTATTGTTTATTTTTTAAATCAGATAGACAATAACAAACATATACAGTAATTTATATATATATATATTGACAAAACCAAAAATCTTAAAACTCTACCCAAATTCAAAATCCCAAATATAATAAAATTGTCCTAAATCCCAAATTCCAAATCCTATTTCAAATATAATAAAAATTATTCCAAATCCCAAATCCAAATTCCAAATTCCAAATTCTAATAATTTTGCTAGCAAGTATATTCATATATATCTCAAATACAAAATATTCATACAAATAATATTCTAAGATAGTATCTGACTTCTCTACAAGTTCGGTCAATAAAGTTTTCTTACAGAGTTTTTTACTTTGATATATTAAATAGATAAATATAGAGTAGAGACTAGTTTATTTAGTAGTATATTATTTTTACAAACCTTTTACAGGTTTGTAATAGTAGGGTTGGGGCACGGTGTCCCAGGGCATGCCTTAGGAGCATGCCCTCCTGGGTATGCCTGGGGCATGCCTTTGAGCCAAAAGGCATGCCCTTATCATGTGATTATAAATCTAAATCACGTGGAATTGGAGCGCACTGATTGGCTATCTATTTTATTAGATTGTCTTATCATTTTGTAATGTATAGGGTTATATGAGTCCTGTCAAAGAGTATATAGTTAGCCATCTATGAAAATTCTATTGATCATAAATTTTCCATAAACGGCTAACTGAACACAAAATATAATTGAAAGTCCAAGTAACAGATTTTCCTTTGACGGCACTCATATATTTATGAGAACTATATAGATCTCTTTAACCCGGCATACAAAAAAAATCAAAGTTTTAATGCTTATAAATAATTTTGTTATTATTTTATTTTATTTCTTTTTGTAATAGTTTGTCACGAATCATAATAAAATCGGATTAAAATAAAATAAGGGTTTCTATTTAACCCTCTAAAACCCACTGATATTTGTTTATTATAAACTCTACCCTAATACTAACCTCTAACCCTAACTTCTAACCTTAACAAATATACCTCAAAAATTTATATTTTTCGGTAGCTTGTCTATTTTTACATTATACAATATTTATTTTAATCCGATTTCATTTTAATCTAATTTCATTTTAATCTGATTCATTTTAATCTGATTTCATTTTAATCTGTCACAATAGGACAGATGAAATATTAGAATGTAGAGATAAGAGTACACCAAAACAAAACCGTTGTATGCTTGAAGCTATTCATTGCTTTTATTATTCTAAGATTTACAAAGAAAAACATTTATTTCAACAATCAATTTTAGAGATCTTTCACTCGGTAATCAATTTCAACTAACCAAAATGAGTATAAATATACATTCATATACTTTTTTCTACATATATACGTATATACATACATTTAATTACATTACTATTCTTGATTATTCCAGATAAGTCTACGGTTCATTACTAAGCCAAGTAAAATACAAAAATAGTCATAATAATTTCTAAGCCCATCTAAACAAGTCAATTATATATTCAAAGCGACTATAGAAAAAATGGCGTGAGATATATACATGATAGAATTGGATGAAAATTAGAAATCATGGTGAGAATTGAGAATTTAATATTTGAAAAAATGTCTAAATAGGTGAAAACGTATTCAAAGCCATCCTGGTTTAATATGAAAATATAATTGCGCGATTATGGTTGCGTAAATCAGAAGAAATGGTGTGATATATATGCACAATAGTAAATTGGAAGAGAATTAGATATCGCAGCGAAAATTGTAAAATTTCGATATTTGAAAATGTATTTAATCACTTAAGCCTGCCTAAATAGCTGATGCTGCATTCAAAGCCAACTGTTCAATGCCGAGAAGCATAATTCTATATTATTGTTAGTGGGAAGGCATAAGTTATGGTGTGAAGTATCATACGAAATAGTAAATAGAAAGAGATTTTGATTTAGAAAATGTAGAAATATATTTGAAAATGTATAAAAATTGTGCTTTTTGGCTTAAATAAACTTCAGAATTTGATTCTAAATAAATAAATCTTTGAAAACGTATTCTTTAATAAAAATTTTTTTATTTTGGTAAATTTTACATTTTAAATTATTGCCAGTAATCAAATTATATCTAAATCTTTGATCATAAATCATCTCATTATTCTCATCGTGGTATTTATCAACTTTATATCAATTTCATCACATTTAAATAATCTAAAATTACTATTTATACAAAATTATTATCCCTCAGCATTTTATCTTTTAATATTGTACTATTTTCCAAAGATAGTAGTAACATTGTCTTCGTATCCTAAAAAAGATCAAAAAGATCAATAAATTAATACATTTAAGACATAAATAATACATAAAAAACTTATAATCTCAATCGTATAATTGTCTGCAATAAAACCAAAATTTCAAAAACTTATTATAGAAATTCCCCAAGGTTTTGCTCTTCCTCTTTCAACACAAGATCAGTGTTGGTCTAGCTTTTTTCGATCTGAGCTAAAAAAAGGAGGAAACAAATACATGGCAAAATATAAATTTTGCTTGAGTGAATTTAGTACAAACCAGAAAGACTCCATCAACACGTACTTAAGTATAGTGATTGGTCTCCATTAGAAAAGGCTACTTATCTTAGTAAAATTTCTAATGAAAGCCCTGCCTCTCGTAAACGTACTCATGAAGAAGATGATGATATTTCTACTGAGCATGACGGCACACAACAGTCATTTGAATCCCTCGCCAAAATACTATCCTTAATTGGTATAATCGGCCTTTACCTAACATGCAATCTAAAAAACTTCACCAAAAACTTTTAAAGGCCATTATATGGAAATCTTTCCTTTAATTTCATTGAAAATCTATATCTTCAAGAATATCTTTCTGAATTAAATTCTGCTTATCATCTTTCTTCCCGCGATATGATCAAAGGACGTCTCTTCACTACGATATTTTCTGATCATCTTCAAAAAAAATTAAATGCTTTTCCCTCTCTTACCGACATTACCATTTCTTTAGATAGATGGACTGACAATTATGAAAATTCTATCTATAGGTTTATAGCTCTAAATGAGAATT